TACATCACCAAAACAGTCTCACCCGATAAATAAGTGGCGTAGGCCGCAAACACGTAAGGATGACATAATCTACCTCACGGACAGTTCGTAGTGCTGTCCAATTAGCTCCGAGTGATACTGGCTCTCCTCATGAAGCTTTGGTTGCGCACGGTGGTTGCGAGGGGTCGACAAAATCCTCATTCCGGATACCATGATTATGCGAATACCAACACTTTATAGCTGGTGGTGTCAATCGGTTGCGCGGAATGAAAGACACATCCGATCTAACGCCCGCCGAGGCTAATCGTCGATTTAGCAAATCGGCTAATTTGTTTGCCAGAAAGCTGCTTGCGAATGAAGTCGGATTTCGAGTATTCAGTGATTTGAGGACGCTTCACGTAGTGATAAGTCATGACGTATTCACGGGGCATGAGTTTGATTTGGGTGAATGGGTACAAGTCGCACGTGGTGGGCAGAATTCGCCGTCCTTGAGCCGGAAGTGCGCGGTTGTGAAAGTAGAGAAGATCAAGGACAACCATTTCAGGCTGAGGACGGTGTGACCTCATGCTACTAACATCCTCTTTCCAGAGTGCTTAGTCGTCGACATAAACACAAGAGTGAGAATCAGCATGTATGTGCACTATATTTTCCCGCGTTTTTTTACCAATCTCTCGAATAAATTCCCAAATCCGCAAATTCAGTGTGGACAACGCAGCGCCTTCCATTCCTCGAGCACTCCCTAACCGGTGGTCTATTCCACTCCGATCACATCATCACTGGCCGGCCCGAAATCTCGCAACCGGATGTCCAAGTGTGTGTTCTAAAAATCTACTATTCATACCAATTTTCTATTTCCACAAATTTTTCACACAAATTTCTCCAATTTTTTACGCCACCGCCATCGATACAAGGTCTATGAAAAAATATATTCATACACGTCCGAATGACAAACCCCGGCAAAACACTCCTTCTCTACCTTGATCGGGGTGAACAACTTTCAATTTTCACACCAAAAAAATTCACAGAATTTTTCACGCCACCACCACCGATACAAGGTGTATGAAACGAAATGTTCAGACACATCCGGATGCTGAGACTAAAACCTCGGGAGAAACACTTCGTCTCTACTTTGGTCGGGGGTTTTTGTGGCACTAACACACACCCGCACACTACGACAAGGATGTATGCACACAGAACGAGGATTCTCAACACCACAACGAGAGCTTTTCGGGCTATCTATCCCGGAAGACCTCGTGCATGTAGCCTGGTTGTAACAGCCGAAAGGCACGGATCCAACATTTGTGGTAGATGCCCGTTCGCCCTTGTACTAAATACCCGCCTACCCCTGCGGCGCGTTGGCGTCATTCCTGGCCAACTTCATCAGGTAACGGTTTTCCATTTCTATCTTGGCCTTAGTCTCGATCCTTGTGCCGTCCACACCACATGGGTAGCATGGCGTGTTAACGCCCTTGGTGTTGAAGGAGCGGGTGCCCAACACCCAAGCCCCTTTCTTCACGTTGCCGATGCGTTACTCGAAGAACTCCGACGTTTCCTCCGACTTGACAAGCCTGCTCTTCGCGCCCTTGAAACCACGGCGGTGGTGGCCGATGGACCTACAGTACGGAGTGTTGTCAAACTCCTTGTCGCTGGCGCCACCGGGGCCTCGCGAGTTGCCGTTGCGCTTCGATTGCTTCCCCGATGGATATTTTTGCGCCCCTAAATGTTCGTTTGGATAAATCATTCAGAGAAGGCAAGTGCCTAGGTTGAGCGTCTTTTTCACAAGTCGAAAAAATGGATTCCCCAGGTGACGACCACTAGACTATATCTTAGCGCCGGATGGAGCGGTACAATGTGGACGTCGTCAGGGCTGTAGCAGCGAACATCAAGAGTGAAGAACATTTCTGAACTCNGATAAATCATTCAGAGAAGGCAAGTGCCTAGGTTGAGCGTCTTTTTCACAAGTCGAAAAAATGGATTCCCCAGGTGACGACCACTAGACTATATCTTAGCGCCGGATGGAGCGGTACAATGTGGACGTCGTCAGGGCTGTAGCAGCGAACATCAAGAGTGAAGAACATTTCTGAACTCACACGAGTAAATACTTTGCATCATCCAATCGCTGTTGGCGGTTGGACGTACTGCTTGCTGAAAACAAACAACAACAACAACAACAACAACAACAACAACAACAACAACAACAACAACAACAACAACAATAATAACAACAACAGAAACAACAAAAAGTGTATAGTCTACTATAGAATATTCGAATGTTCGACCCAGAGGCCTCGGCATTTAGTTTCATTCAAAGCGTCCGTTGCACGCCTTGTTATCAACACATCCATTGGAGCAGGGAGCGGGGATGGGGCGGTTTGCGTGGGGTGAAACGCACACCAGGCAACAAGCATAAACAACCCGATTCAAATCACAGCTTTTCATCCCAAGAGTCACACATACATCATACATTGCCTGAAACCCTAGAAAGAACAACAACCAATCACAGCGTTTCATCCAAAGAGTCACATGAACAACACAAACAACAACAAAAACAGCAAAAGCAGCAAGCAAGCAAGCTCCAACGACCGCAGAGAGCAATTGTTCTGGTTGGCCGTCAATACCGGTTCTAGATAGTACGTTGATGGATGCGTGAGCATTCCTAGTGCGCCCGTGGGAGACTAATGCCCCACGTGTGGCTAGGCGTAACTTTGATGGTTACATTACACCATCTACGGAACCCCCACCCCCCGGTCGAAGATCGAGAATCGGCAATCCACGGAACCCCCCATGGGGGCTCGACAGTGACCATTCTCTAGTTGGAGTGAAAACTTGTCTCTGAGACCGGAACAGGCACCCACTCCCTCACCGCTGTGAGTGCTTCGCCCTCGCTTGTATGTCAACCACGACTGTGAATGATGATGATGATGCCTCGCCGCTGTGAGTGCTGCACCCTCGCTTGTATGTCAACTGCGACTGTGAATGATGATGATGATGCTGCTGAGCTAGTGCGACCGTGGATGGCATATCCTTGGATTCCTGTGGAATTCGGCTTGAGTCGATATCTTAGGTCTCCTTGAGTCTAGCGAACCCCATCAGATGTAGATATACGTCGCCCAGGTCAGAGTGAATGAGCTTGGTAATGCGATAGTGCAAACTCTTCTTTATCACAATTACCGACCGAGACACACAACACAAGTCCGTCCATCAAACCACACGCAAGAAGCAGTGACAGCGATGTACGGCACGCGCTATGATCTTCTTTCCTTTCACACTCGCTTTCTTCACCTTCTTGCCGTTGACGAGCACGAGGGCGTTGTTGGCTTCAGTTGCTCTTCGGGAGCCCGGTGTACGCGGGGCATTCTCGGGCCAGACGAGCCTATCCGCGTAGGGGCTGATGGATGCTCCGGGCGGGGCCGGCTTGGTAGTGTGGGCCACCACCAACTTGCGAGCACTGTCGCGGTCCTTGTCCGAGACAGGTTGCTGGTCGTTCCGAGTAGTCGTGATGTAGTCCGCCCCTAGAGTGAAGGATGATGCCACGCCCCGGGGCCTGACGCCATCGACCGCTCGTACCTCCTCCCCCTAGGCGTTCGGCCCTTTCACCACGACCCGCCCGTTGACCTTGGATACGACAATCTCGCCGGGCTCGTAAGGGCCGCACGCAGGCGTGGCGTCTGGTCCTGGCGTTAGCTCGATGAAGAACTCCGGGGCATTCGGGGAGGGGCCAGTCAGCCACGTGAATATTGTCCGATCGTACTGGAGGTTAATGTTGTCGCGGTGTGGGGGCATGCCCGCCTCCACCGGCCGGAGCATGATACGGGCATCGACCACTCTGTTGCGGAGACCCGGCGGCGCAGACGCCTCTATGTCACGGAGGAGCCTTCCCAGCTCCTTCTTCCTCTGGTAACCGTTCACATGATTATATCGTTGCGTGTTTCGCCACAGCAGAGAGAGCACCGAGCTATTAACTGAGGACACCTCACATGACTCCAGCTCATGCAAGACATCATGTGCCAGCAAGTCTTCTACGTCGTACTGGCCTGCCCGAAACAGCAGCAGTGAAGAGGTCGAATGTGTGAGCGGGCGCTCTTCCATGGGTGGGTTTGATACACAAATAGGCGAGCAGAAAGTCACACTAAAGAATACACAGTGTGTGATCGAGAGGACGGGCGGCCGTTGTACTACTATCTGAGGCATAAGTACAGAAATGAAGTGAGAGCTCGTAGCGTTGGTTTAGTGTCGACACTCGACAGGAACTTCGGCAGGCCGCGAAGCAGGGACGACCTCGTACAGAGCAACTTGAACAGCTTTCCTTCTGTGCCCAACCCTTAGGAATCTGCTGCTTGTGAAGACCGGCAGTATCCTGGTACGGGCGATCGTCAACTCTGCCACAGCGGAGCGTCTTGGGATGCGAGTCCCCGCACTCCAAGGGGGTTCCGTGTTGACTGTCTGCTGGAGAGGGTATGCATCTATCTCTCGTGATTGAAATCGCCCCCCCCCCTGGATGGGTTTTCGTTCCTTGGCAATGACGTTGTAAACAAGCACCCCCCCCCCCTGGTGTTTGCCATCGGGGATGGGTTTTCGTCGCTTGGCAACGACGTTGTAAAACAAGCCAATTCACTTCGTGAACTCTGCAACCAGGATACCGTTTTTTTCTTCACCTCTGGTTTTTTTGGCGGTTACCACAATGAATGGTGGTCGAGTAGATCATGTTGTGCGGGGTCGAGAATCCTCACTCCGCGCAAGGGGGATGATCGCACCACGTTGTGTTGAAATGGTCAAGCACCCTCGAGGCAGTTACACAGTGCTTACAACTGTCTCTGGAAGTGAAAGCACCAGAAAATAAATTAATTCATACGCAGCTGTCATCCGTACGCAAGGAAGTAAGCACAAGATGCCGAACACCCTTAGCAGGATGCAGCGCACCCTTCATGCGACTCGCCGAATATCTCACGGCGCTTCGCGCTTGGTGATGTGAGAGCCTGGTCCGGTGAGAACCCGGCGTGCTCCGTCCCGGCTTTGTAGGGATGCGAGGTCAATGGTCTAACGACTACGGCATGCACATCTATGAGTACCCCCCCCGCCCCCCCCCCGCCTGAAATGGAGAAGAGGCGTTTACCCCAAGAAGAGCTGAAATTAGAGGACCAGCTTCCTGCTTGGCTGTATGCCAACTTTGCTACCACGAAACCATAGATACGATGCTGGGAAGAGATCGTTTCGAGACCTTACCCACTCAAGTGGTATGGTAGCTAGACGCTGTGGAACTTTTTGTTCGGGTCACACAGCCGCAAAGCGGCAAAATGCTTTGTCTGGCAGAGTCAAAGAAGAGCTGCCAGAATAGTGTTGCAGCAGATTGTCTATGCATGACGTACCTTCTTCAGGGTCAACCTGCTCCACGTAACACCAACGGTGGTTGGCGGCATGTGATGACGATACAGCTGCCGTGGTTGCCCGCGCCATCCTCCCTTTGGAATGAGACAACATTATTTTTCTCTTTTTTTGCCCGAAGCGTCAACCACAGTGGTGGTGGTGGCACCGTCGACTGGTGACAATAATATATGGTCTATCTGTCTATCGATCACTCCGTATGTGGTAAGGACGCGGTTGTAATGTAGAAAATTCCTCATCGCCTGTCAGTGGAGGACGTAGTTGTGAGCGTGTGTCGGTGTTTCCTGCGGCGAATGTTTCCCGTCAAGATTTGTCCCTGCCCTGTGTGCCTCTCTCCTTATTCGAAGACCGTTCGACGTCATGTAGGTGCGGCAAAAAAAGTCACGGGAAGAGGAGAGGGGGTGGTGGGTTCAACACCAACCAGCCTAGAGTGGATCGGGGCAGCCGGTAGGAAATGTGTTCCTCCCAGGGCAAGAAAGTGTGGTCGGCGATTTCCCGTGGAAGTCTGGCGTCATCAATCAGACCAATCAGTCACTCACGGCGAATTTGCACTTTTCGAGTTTCCCCGAGAAGTGGCCTCATGACCGTGGCTGACGTCATCGGTCGACCATGGTTTTTTCGACCACAGGAAATTTCCCCGCAAAAAAATGGCCAATCAGAAAACTGCGGGCACCTTTTCTCCCTCTCTCTGTAGCTTTCACCTACGAGATTTTCGAATGCCCCGCGGAGTGCTTGTTGCGTCTCCGTGATAGCAACGGAAACGATGCACCGACAAATACGCCGACAAACGCCCTTCGCAAAACGCAACAAAGGAGCAGGGGCGACGTACGTTGGAGATCACCCCCCCTCTCCGCACCAGGTCCGGCTCTCGAGCCTCGTCTGTGCCCGTTAACCACTCACGCATGGATGGGGTGAAGAAAAAGAGATGCGTAACCTCAAATACCCCAAAACAACCTAGACCGCGGAGCGGAGATCGGGGGGCACGACGGCGTCAACCACGGCATGCGCTACCGGAACATCTTGGCTGGCCTCATGTATGACAATCAAGAGAGAAACTGATACGCGAGAAAGAAGTTGGCTCACGTGCCGCTGCCAGATCATCGACATTATGAACAACCTCCAACAAACGGGGCTCTCGGCATACCATCGACATGATGATGACCAAGGTCCAACTACAGGCACCCTCTCAAAGAGAACAGGATTGGGCCGAATCCCGTCGATGACGCCAAAAAAAAAGCAAACGGACGACTGATTGTAGAGCAACAAACCAAGCAGCGGACCAATGATGGAAAGCTCCCAAAAACAACGCGTCAGGTCGCTCAGTAATGACTCGAATTAGCTACTTCACACACGGCTTCGGAGAGACTGAGATAGGTGAAGAACCAGCTGAGCAAAAAATAAGAAAAATAGCACCGACAAAGAAAGCTCTTGACCCATCGTCATGTTGCGATGCCCCTCCTCTCTGGATGACGGGATAACACGCATGTGAAGAAGTCTATTGGCCCAAAGCGCCAGCAGGCGGCCGAAGGCAAAACACGCCTGCGAACAGTAGCTGTATCCTACACATATGTGAACACCCCGCTACATCCCCACCCACATGCACACACATCCCACAGCCGCCGCACGGCACATACAGAGCCACACGTAACAAAGTGGGAGATTTAGAACTCCAGGCCCAACGACAGAAAATAGTCAACTTGACCAACGACCAGGTTTCCACCTGAAAAAAAAATCCCACAGCAAAAAAACCTGGCGCTCTAGCCGCTGTGTTAGGTTCTAGTCTACAGAGGAAAAAATAGACAACGAGCCTCGGGTAAAAATGACAAGGAAAATGTAGCGCATGATCCCTCCCGGCTCTTGTCCATCCCAGCTCGCCAACGCCCACCACCTCGCGTCACGTCCTCTCGAGCACGCGTGCCCAATGGTCTAAGACAAGCAAACATTAGTACGCCGCCCCCACCACCAATACCACGATGATTATCACCGCACAGCCATAGCCCCGAGACCCATTCCTACTCGCTGCGGGAAACACTACAACCGACATCAGGGTCCACAAAAAAGCGCACCCCTTTTCACCAAGCGCTCACCCTGCGGTAGACCACACAACATACACTCGCAGATTTTGACCAGACAATTCAACAGCTTCACTTTTTTTGTGTACGACACAACGGGGTGAGAGATACGGTGCCCGTTCCTTTCGAGCTGTGGCCAACACCTTACCCATCCGCGCTCTGCGGTGCCCCGCATCGGGGCCGTCGTTGCCGCACACCGAACCCTATTAGCATACGAAACACGTGTAATACTTTTCTAGCACTTGAACCACGTGCTGAACAAACCAAACGAACAAGAACAAACCAACGAGAGGGCCATCACGGCCCGGACATCATCCGACACTCAAGCATGAACCAACACAATACCCTTTTCAGGCTGTTACACAGCAAACGAGTGCATCGTTCCCGTGTTCCCAGGTATTTTACAGACTAAACTATTATTGCGCCGAGAGTATTGTAGGGTTCTTTGATAAAGCGCGCTACGCCGACACGCCCTGCACGCTGCTGTACAGCAAGACGCACGCGTCGTCCCCGCGCTCCTCACGAACTAATTCTATCGCACAGGGCGTTCCAAGTCAGTCTTCCCGTTCCGACTCGTCCTCCCCGCCCACCAACCCAATCTCCCCCTCTCCGGCCGCCACAGCCTTCTCGGCTTCGTCCTCATCACGCTGACTATCGTCGTCATCTTCCTCCTCGTCATCATCGTCGTCATCGTCATCACCGATAAGCGGCGGCGGGTCCCTCCAAAAGTTGAGGTCGGTGAACCGGTCCTCGACCGCGGCGCGGTTGGGGTAAAAGCTCTTCTCCCGCCGCGGCGCCACCTCCTCCCACCTCCGCGGGATCGTCGGGGCCCCCTTCGCCTTGGCACCCGCCGCTTCCTTCGCTCCGATTCCGCCGCCGCCGCTGCTACCGCGGTCGGCCAGGGAAGGGCGGCGGCTAGCCTGACCTTTGCTCCTGATCCCGTCGCCGCGTTCGCCTCCAACCGCTGGGACAAATCCGTTGATTCCTCGGCCGTCACTATCGGCGACGGATGCACCGGTAGCGGGGGACACGCCGCCGCCGCCGCCGCCGCCGCCGCCGCCGCCATCTGGACCGTCAGCGCCGTCACCACCCCCGCCGGGTCCGCCGCCGCTGCCTGCAACGGAAGAAGACGACGACGACGACACCGATTTCGGAAGCCCTGTCGACCTCCCACCAACATCCTGGCCGCCGCCGCCGCCGCCGCTGCCGACCGCGTCATCGATCTCGGCGTCAACATCACCATCGTCATCGGCGTAGGCATCACCATCGTCGTTGTCGGCATAGTAGTCCTCGAGCTCGTGGCCGTCGAAGGAATCGTCCGCCCCATCG